TCCACAGCATGTAAAAATATAATATAAGCTCTGGCGGACTTGGTTCTATGGTAGGTCTTAAAGGGTTAAAGTGGTGAAACAAGTTTGTTTCCACCATTTCAGAAACAGTTTTTTTTGCATATTTTGCCAACTACTCTGCTGGTTGTTGAAGTAACTCTTTTTTAGGTGCTCATCAGCATGAGCAGAAGCTGACACGTGGCTCTCGGCCTCAGACATGCCTGGCCTTGTTGTTGTTGTTGTACACGCTAACAAGCATAAAAGTATTGTGTCTGTATCATTGATATTGTGATGCTTTTGAAAACCTTTGTCATGTAAGGATACTGATGATATCGCAGATACACCAGTTGCTAAAATATATATATTAAAAAAGAAATGAACCTTGCTCAGCCATGGCCTTGAAGCTCCCACATCAGCGTGTTGTAGCTCATTTTCTTTGATCCATTAGACCTAGACAGAGGGTAAACACAATAGGTTTGTTTTTTTTGAAGCGTGGAATCATTTTCTTGCTAGAACAGGCATCCAGGAAATGAAAAGAAATATTGAGCGGGTGTAAACTTCTTTTTGTGCTTCTGGGGTGGTTCATGCTTAACAAAGTCTGAGAACCACAGATTTTAGAGGATTTGTGTTGTTCTTTTTAATCATTCATAAAAACTAGTGTCAACTACACAAGTATTTTCCATTTCCCTTTTTGTGGGCAAAACAGTTACAAATCAGAGCTTGCTTTCTTGTTTATGAGCCTGCTCTGTCTTCATCAGGATGGCATTTGTGAATTAGATTCTCAGACTTTACATTGTTCTTCATTTTCCATGTCTCGAAACTCAAGCTTGTTATGTCGTAAATAATGTTCCCTCTCTGATGTACAGTTACAAAAGTGAGCGTCCTGCTGCTGCTTACAGTTTCCAGCAGTGTTCCCTTTCTCTTTCGGCCCAGTCCTCTACTTCATTTCTCAGCCTTTCCCTCTCATCCTTTAAATTCAGTCCAGACTCGGGTCTTAAATCTGGATTCTCTGCGCTTAACCAAACATATGGAATGCTACTGTAGTGGAATGCTTCGTGTGTGTGTGTGTGTGTGTGTGTGTGTGTGCGCACATGTTTTGAAGCAGATGAGAGCTTCTAGGATGATGATGATGATTATGATAATGGTGCGTGTGTGTGTGTGTTTACCAGTGCCTCCCCAGAGAACTGAATAGGGCCTTCTGTTGTCGTGGCCAAACATTGCTTGTCTGCTCATGCATGAGTCTATTGCAAAGCCTCAGAATGTGCCCCATATCTGAGCAGTTAGCTCATTCTTAGCCTCTTAGCTTGACTGTGAACGATCTCCCTTACAGTGACTGCTTTGTCAGCCCGGCCGCCGGCCCCGGGCTTTGTCAAGTGCCAAAGATAACAATGGCGAAAGATGGCATGAGTGTGTGTGTTGATATAATGATGACCAGTGCTTCCATTTTTACTAACCTCACGCCCTCTCTGTGTGTTTTAACCACAGGATGGAGAGTTTGTGGAGCTTGATTTGCTTTAGAGGAAAGGATGCATCTTAAATTAAGTAAGTTGTGGGAAGTTCTTTGTGATTTTTAGGATTTCTGCCAGTGTGTACAAGCCCTGCAGCCCAGCAGGCCTGCACTTACACTCCTGCCAATCTAAGCAGATATATATATATTTTTTTTTTAAAGACATAATCTGTAATCAGGAAGTTGTCTAATATAGCCTCTTAACCCACTGTTCTTGTTAACTATTTTACACAAATAAGCATTGAGTGACCAGGCAGATGTTATGACCCAATACCGTTTTATCTGTAAGGCTGATACGTCTCCACTTGTGTGAATAAAGTCAACTGCAATTTCGTGCTCTCCTTCTCGTCCTCTAGTTCATTCCTTTTCATGTCTAAAGTGGAAAATAAACTATTTGGTGTTTCTCTTCAGCCCTTTCCAGTTTACAGCTCATACGGCAGCACTTCTTCTTTGACACATAATTACCAACTGACATTATAGTGGATGGATAGCACCATTAGTTGAGTGCAACATTGAGTTGTGCCAAATCAACCTCTTCTGAGATTGTCAGGCTTGCTGTTTTCTCTCGTTCTCAGCAGCTCCGGGGACAGAAGTAGTGAAGTTTAGTTTATTAGTTAAGTTTGAAGTTGAGTCAAAACCTACCAGAGTATTGCAGTTGGTATTTAAATGCATTAGGTCACTAACCGTGTTAGACAGCTTCTCAGTTTCAGGCTAGTCTGGTTAAACTCTCACATCTTTCCCTTCACTTCTTCTCCTCATCCTCCAGTCTTGCCTACTTTTCTTCCCTTCCTTTCCCCCTCCTCCTTGTCTCCTCGCCTCCTCAGCCCCTCCTCTACTCTTTTGTGAGTCTGTTTCCTGTTGGGCACAAATGCCGGCGCCGCATTTCCTTCCCTATAGCCTAAAGTAACACAGGAGTGGTACATACATGTACAGTTGCAAAAAAAAAAAAAGGAATTTCCAGTAAAATACGGTTTGATATTCACTGAGGGCAGCGGAAAGGACAAATGGTGTGACTAATAACACACAAGCACATAGAGGGATCACTCAACGTAAGTGAACCTCTAAATCTTCAAAAGCTACTGTGAGTCAGGTTTGAAATTAAAAAGATCAAACACAGTGCACAATGCAATGCTCACAGGAAGCGGGACCTGTATGAGCACCAAAACATGAAGAAAAAAAGATGAAGAATGCTGAAGGGGACAACTTCAAGGCAGCAGTCCCTTTTCCTGAAGTGGTTGAGAGGTCTGTCCACGGTTTAGTTTGAAATGTACGTTTTGCAATGGCAAAATCAGATTACTGATATTAACCCAACTGAGATGTTGTGACCTCAAGGCATCCCAGAAATCCTGCTGAACTGAAACGGCCTCGTAAGGAAGGATGTTCCAGAGTTCCTCCTCGCTGTTGTGCAATTCTCATAAGAAGCTGCAGAAAATATATAAAGGAGGCTTTGTGAGTAACTCAATCCAAGAAATGATAACTTCAATGAAGATCAGGTCGCATTTTATTATGAGTCATAGCAGACAGCCAAAAGGATTCGCAAACTTTATCTTCGAACTTCATTCAGTGCTCAGTGGGTGTGTGTGGGTGTCTGCGTTCTTACGTCAGATTAGTCAGCAGACAGTGTGTATCACTGTCTTATCACATCTCCTCTGCTGTCTGCTCCCACAAGTGTATAAGGTCAATATGTGGCCAGGGCGTGTTCTGTGTGTCTAAACCGAGCTGCCATTAAACATGTTTATTATTCTGAATGGTAATCCTAAAACTGACCATTAAAACCAACATTAAAACAGGAAACTCTGAAGGCACTTCCCCATCCTATTTACATCTCTCACTTACAGGAGCATGATTCTTTTAATTTATGAATGATTTATGCTTTGCACTCAGTTTAGTTTATCATTTGTTTTTGTTTTTTTCCTTGATGTACTTTTGCAATCTGCAGTCACACGCTGCTCTTAGTTAGAGCGAGACGATCTGTAAGTACCGCATCATCCCACGGGGACGCACATCTCCTCTGAAACACGTCATCATTTTACCTTCTGCTACATCTCCTCTTCTCCCTCTTTCTCTCCCCTCTTCCTGCAGCCACTGCTGCATTCCTGCTGCAGTAATCCACTCTGTCATCTACCTGCTCTGCATTCTATACAGTCATTCCCCTTGTTTCTCTCCCTCTCTCTCATCTTAATCTGCTTTTTCTCTGTCGCTCTCTGTCATTGCTTCTCTTCCATTATTGCACACGTTTCACTCTGCACATTTATTTCGTCTGAGCTCCTCTGCTGTGTCTCTTCTCCCTGTGTCTTTCTTTTTCTTCTTTCTCCCCCTTCTCATCACAGAGCCACTGAGGTCTCCATTCAGCCGCAGCGGGCTTCTAATGCCAAGGCTCAGGCTGATGAAGCACTGCCAAGCTCTGCCAAGCAAACTCTGTGTGTGCGCGCCCTGTGTTAGGATGGGAAAACGGTGAATGAACAGGATGCGGAGCAGAAGGTGGAACGGCTGTATGTTAAGAGCTATTGATGTGTCTGAATGAAATGACCGTGGTTGTCTATTAGCTACCGCGAGGCTTACGCTCAGAAAATTTCCAATTCATAATCACAGGAGACTTTGAGGATCAGCTGTCATTTCCCCCTCTTGTCAGTGCAAGGGGAAGGACACAGAAGTGCAGCAGGAAAGCAGGGGTAATACAGTGAAGGTGAAGGGAAGGAAATTGAAGGAAAGCAGTGACAGAAATGGGCGACTGGGGTGGGACATTTAGAGGTCACATGAAAGCAGATGATGGTAGCAGAGACTGATGACAAAGGAGAACAATAGCTGGGGTGATGAAAGAAAATAATGTATAGTAATCAATTATTATTGATGTCCTTGGCCTTTTTGGAGAAAGGACAATTGCTGCCTCTGTAGATTATTTCCATTCATATAATTTCTTCATTAGTTTCATTAGTAATTGTCAATCACTTTGAGATCAATTCATGATTTCTTTATTGTGTAATTCCTTTATGTGAGTGTTTACACCACAAATCTTAAATGGAAATGCATTTTTGTGGCCCTCCCTGTAACACGTGGTGCAGAGTTACACGTTGCTCAGTTTGTCTAAAGACACTTTCCTCCCAGTGACACTGCAGAGCATTAAGTGCTATGTAAATATTTAAGTGTGTGAGCAAGGGAGGGCACGAGACCAGTCTGTGCCGAAACCAGTAAGAGTTAATATGGTTGACTAATTATCTCTTGTACTTCAGCATAAACATCAATTACTGGTATTTAAAATGTTAACAATGTGTTTTGCTGATAGGACACAGACTGTTGAGACATCCTCAGAAATGAATTAGTAAGGTTGATTTCTGTTCATCTGGACGCAACGTTTTCAGTGGGAGAAACGTTTCATCACCATTCTGATTCCTTCAGTCACAGCAGACTTCAGGTTTCCTCAGCCTTATGAACAGTACAGCTGCATAACAATCAAAACCAGCAGCACTGCATAACATTGAGCCACGAGATCAGTTTCATAATCATTGATAAGCAAATTGTTTTGACCCTTAATCAGCGGCCATGAGTGCTGTTTTCAGAGAATTGGGGAGAGGCTGCAATCACGCGATGGTCCGATAGTGAAAAGTGTGCTGATCCTTTGTGTCCGGAGGGGCAGAACAACCAAGACATGCATTTCAGTGGCTTACCAACCCCAAGGAATGGGTCCCTTGGTACAAACAGAGCAACAGTAAATGAATTTAAGTGCTAATAGGATTGCAGGGAATTATACATCTGGGAAATTAAACAATCACTGGCTAAACGGATGAGCTACATTGTCAGATTGGACTCCTCAGTCTATTTACACCTACAGGCCAGTGGCCACTCTTTCAACTGACGAGGATTTGTACATGCTGGGCATGAAGGATTGCAGGTTTGCAGTTCATAGCCAATGTATGTGAGAAATGGAACGACCACTTGAACCCAGGAGCGAAGCCTAAGAGTACATCTTTACCTACTTACAATGCTGTGATTCCAGTCATTCCCTATTTTTCTGTGAAAAGTACTGATGGCCATTGGTAAATACTGATGACAATTTGCATCTCAATGATGTTGAAACTGAGCTTGTGGGTCATTGTTAGGAAATGGTGCTAGTTTCAGTCATTATGCAATTGTTCTGTTTTTAAGGTTAGGGAAACCTGTCAGCTGATACTCAAGAAGTCAGCCCAGCTGTCTCCAAACACAGTGGTAATGTGTATTTCAGAATAACACCACACAAGGATAGTATTTTAGATTTTGTAACATGTTCAGTTAAAGTTACTCAACCTTAATTCCAATCTTGATGTTGATCTTTTAAGTCATGCCGTTAGTTGAGATTGTATCCTCCTTCTTCTTCTCTATGTGAAATAGAGCCTGATCGATATATATATATGCTCATTGCTGGTCTGCATATATAATGGATCATATATGAGGCAGACGAAAACAGAGTAATACAGAGCATACACCAAATAACACTGCTCGATTCTCCAAATGTTCAGTAAGCAGATGGATTCAGTTCTGTATCAGCAGACGAGGGAGAAAATACTTAAAACTTAAAGTCTAAATATGGAAAGAAGAAATGGTATTCATGACTCTAGCTCTCGCCTAACTTCTGCCTCCACTCATTCCTTTTCTGCATTGCTCACACTTGTTCACATAGTGTTGTCTCTTAACAAGTGTCATCATGTTGTGATGTTTTCACGTTCTCTTATCAGTGTTAAACGCTGACACAAACGCATTCCTTTAGCAGCAGTTCATCGTCACACACATCTTTGCGTATTCGCACACGCTCATTGCAGCATGAGGATTTTACCTGTGCGTGCTGAAATTGTTTGAACAGCTGTTATTCTACCACAAAACTGCAGTTCAGCTCATTATAATCAAGGCTGATGCTTTAATGCTGCTATGACCTTTAGCCCCCTTGCTCTCAGGTCATGTATGCTATCAACCAACTGTGTGGATGACCCGTTGCAATTTAAAGACTGAACAAACACCGAGAGAAAGCTGTGAAACTAAAGTGACTTGAGAACCGCAACTGATT